TTTTCGGAAACTCCCATATGTACATATACAACCTGTCCACAGGCTCAATCTGTAGGGCCCGGGAGGTATGTGGCCCGAGGGGTATGTCTCAACATGATGCAGGGAGGTCCTGCATGGGGTATCTGGGGCTTTCAAGGGTATGGGTTATTTCTTTTCTGCTGCAATGGGTTTGCTGCTTAGTTTTTGGGGCTTTCAAGGTATGGGTTATTACATTTATGCTGCGATGGCTTTACTGATTAGTTCAGTGTTGAGACATACCCTGCCCTGGTAGAAGCAGCGAGCATCATGGATTCTGAAAGCTCCCGGGAGTTATGCTCGCAGATTCGAGAAGTGACATCGCGGAATATCCCAGCCTATGAGATCGTGAGAAAGGTTTACTGGATTGTCAACCAACACTGGGCCTGGCGTGCAAGTCAGATCTCCGAGTTCGAAGATGCCGGCAACAACTGGCATGCCCTTACCTGGTACAGGCCATGGATGATGTTTCCACATCTGGTTGGGTACGTTTTGCAGATCCTTAAGGTTGAGAATTGTTAATGTCGCTGGCCATAAGCCACAAACGATGGTACTACTAGGCCAGAAAATCTCCCAAACGCCATCTACTGTAGAAGGCTGAATATTTACCCATATTATTCTTACGGGTTCCTTATCATACATATGTACCATAATGTACCGCAAAACCCTGTTCTAACTATTACGGCACCTATAAGCCCACGTCTTCTTGAAGCTCCTGTGACCGCGAATCATAGAATCTGCAGTCTGTAAAGCTTGTAACTGCTTATAATGAATGAGTACATGTACACTTTGCACTTTTGGGGATGACATTATCCTTTGCAGAACTGAAAGTGTACATTGTTTGGGTTTATGAAGTCAGCAAGTACGAAAGGCTTGACCGCTGTATACACCTCGCGCGAGAGGCAACGCATCAATGGTGGGAATCTTGTTGCTTCATGCCAGCTGTCCCAATCTTGATGATCTAGACTTGGCAGCTACAGTTACTTGCAGTTACAGCAGTGAAGGTTTAGAGCTTTTCGGTGTTTCAGGCGTGGAAGGTTTAGGGTTTAGGGTCAAGAACAGGCTCCGCTCTGGGGCTTCAATTCTGGCAACAGCCTCTTGTCGGATCTGATTTCCAACAGAGGAAGTCACTCTTACAGACGACAAAGGGAGCTTAAAATGTAGGGAACCAACCCTAACTACGGCTCCGGTAATGGTAATTTTAAGGCTGAGTTATACTATCTAGGCACGTGGGGCCTTAGAGCAACCACTTGCAGGCTGCCCGGTGACAAGTGGGAGGAGGTGGCGCATTGGCGCCTGAAGATCGGGAAGTGGGGCAACTTCAGCGGCGAAAGAGCCGAGGAGGGAGCAGGTTTCTCGTTGAAGGGCAGCTCTGCAACGTGGTACTTGACTTTTCACACCCGGACACACTCCAAATCACGAAACGCCGAAGCCTGAAGGAAGGACCCTGATACCAATATAGACCCTGACGCACCATTGCAGCGGACAGCTTTTGCGGACCGGCCCCCCTCTGAAGGGTCAGGGCTGGTCAGCTTGCTTAGCAAGTAAGCTCAGAAGCTAAGTTCAGCATGGCATTCGACTTTGAGTATAGTGAACCCTAAACCCTAAAAAAAAAA